ATCATGTGAAGAACATCTTCAGAGCAAGGTGTCATCGTCACAACCAAATTGAAGCTAACAAACCAATCTACGAATCCCTTCGACGCGCCTTCTCGACCAAAGTGAAATGTACGCCAGTATCGGCAAATGAAGACTGTGACAAACGTGTCTTTTTGGCATTTTTGACGTACATTTTCCGGTTCCCAAATGACCCATTTGCCTGAACCACATTGTCCTGCTCGCTCCAGCATAAACAGACTCGGTCGTTTCTGCTTCTTAGTCCGTTTTCACGTCTCGAGGCATGAGCCATCCTCGATACAGTCATCCTCTCCTCGCGAAACCGCGCTCTCTCGGCCTACACACCTTCGCTTTGCGAGCCCATCCGCCCGGCAACAATGACGGACAATCGCAATAACGAGGCTACCACGCACCGACCCATCGCCCCCGCGGCCCTCGAGCCCTCGCCACCTCTGCCCGGCTGGGCGGCCGGAGGAGGGGTCTGAGCCGTAGTCAAGGCGACCACTCGACTCGGCCAGAAGTGGTAGTCACTTCTGGTTGTCACAAGCAGAACTACAAGAGCCTTGTTGTGGCGACGGGCCAAAGTCAACTGGGCTCGGGCGGGGAGGTGTGTTTTAGCCGAAGTGTGCACAGACTGGGGAGATTGTGTGTCTTGCTGTGGACGGCAACAAAGACCCCCCCCCACCCCACTAACGAGGTTGTCGCGGTGGCGAGAAAAGGTGTGGCCGATTCGACAAAGGATACAACAGCTCGACTACACACAGCCTGGCCCAATCGTCCGGCGACAAGCGAGTGTTGGGATAAGGGCCTTATCGTTCGGTGTTTGCGTAACACCAAATGTGGGCCCGCATGGTACCGAAACGAACAACCCTCGCTCCGGTCGGGAGGTGGCCGCTCCCACCTGTGCCGAGGCGTTTCGGCCAATCATAAGTCGTGGCCGATGCATAATCCCGTCCGTCCAAGGACTGGACGCCATTTCAGAGTATGCCGCATCAGGTGAATTCGGCCACAGTCTTGTGAGTAGTATCGGCAACTGTTGGAAAGTAATATAAACAATGGCGTCAAATGTGGCGGTATGCAAAGACTGCAACAGTTATATGAAATGAAGGACTGTTGATAGAATTTTCCCACCAGCAGTTTAGACCGCGGGATTCGAACCTTGACATCTCATATAACTGATTTATTTGTAGTCTAGAGACTCTACTTATACTAAAAATAAGTAGTGTATCGATTGCTATGACAAAAATACGTTTGCTTCATCGACAATCGCACCAAAGAATGTCATACGCGAAAATTGCTGGCCTTCCTTGAAAATCACACATGTCCTGTGATCCAAATCACATGTTGCACTGTCGCGGTTCGACTGCCGCTGGGGGTGTTGAAAAAAAGACCGATGCCAGGTCGAAACCACAGTCCAATTGAACCGGGATGAGAACAACTTTTGATTGTGGGAAAATTCTACTATCAGTCCTTCATCTCCTGAAACGAAATGGACCAAATACATTTCATCAAAATAAACCGGAAGTCACATGCTTGCAGATGATTGAAGTTATTTCGCGACCTGGAAGAGCGTCGGTTGACAATTGTTTCCCTACACAAACAAACTAGTGTACAATCCTCGAATGTTGATTCATGTTTGGGCTTGTGCACTTCTCACGTGTGTGCATTTACTACAAATGATATGAGTGTGTGTGTGTGTGTGTTTGTGTGATAGTCATAACTAGACTCGAGGCTAATCCTAATTCTTTCTCTTGTTCACTGGCCCCTATTGCAGTCCCTCTCTCTCTCGTCTTAAGCCTATCCAACAGCCGAATACTTTTGTACAATCTACTTTTATGCAAAAAATACGTTAACAGACACGATATTAAAAGGAGATTAAAAGACCCTGTATTTGTTTTCAGCCAGAAATAAACATACACGAACGCGCCCGAAAACACACTCAAGCATTCACATGCCTGGAGTGAGGCTAAACCGATTTAATAAGATAATTCATTATTTAATTATATCCAGTTTATAATGACTTATCTAAATCATGATCCTTTTGGGGCAAATGAACCTTGATGACTCTGGACTGACGTTTAAGCTCGGATATAATTATCTTCTAAAAGCTTACATTTCTAGATTAATAATAATTCTCGAATGATAACATACTCCCATTCGGTAGCTTTAGGCTAGTTAAAGACGAATAGTGATTTGATACTCTGAGATTAAATTGAGCAGAAATCGAATTCTTATCGAAGATTTTAAAATGACTGTAATTTAACAAATAAAATAGAATTATTTTTACTTAGATTTTACTTTATTTAAAATGGTTTGTAAGCATGATCATTCATTCAATCGAGTCAAAGTGCCATAGCATTGCTTCTCAGTTAATTGGATACAATATGTTTGCAATTCTTCGAAAAAATATAGAAATGCCAAATTTTCAAAAAGGTTTGAAATAATAAAATCAAAAAGAAGATTCTTAGGGAAACACCCAAATGCTATTTCTCGTCTAGCCAAGTTGGTCAATTGACTTAGTTGTATTCGTCTGTCCAATAGGCATCATAGACAAGACGAGTGAATCGTTCACGATAGCAATGAGTCGATTCCAAATCCCATCCTTCAATCCCGATCCACCTTTAACCTTTCTCCAAGAATAATTCCTTTCATCGTTGCAAATACATAATTTAAACTTGCTAATTTTCAGGTCGTATTTACATCAAGTGATCCTCAACAGCCCTTTGAATCCAGTAGCAAGTTGGATAATTTCTTTTTCTATATTAACCAGCAGGATAGAAATATCAATTTAAGAAATGAAGACCAAGATGTTGTGGCTTCTGGTGGGGTCGCAATCTTCTTTGGCAACTTGGTCTTGTTGTCATGGCGACTATGTAGAACGCATCTAGTCCAAAGTCGTCTGCCATAGTAGTTGTCATGATTCTCAGCATCTGACAGGGGAGTTGATACATTCTCAAAGGTTTTCCCGGCATCATAGTCGGCATTCTCAATGCATGATGCCATTTTCCGCACCAAGCTACGAACTCGTCAAAGAGACAAGTGAAGTCAATGCCTCGACAAC